AAAACACTAACTGTAACTATTTGAAACCTAAAGGGATGTATCGTTTGAAACTTCAAAAATTATGAACAAAAAATGCAGCCAATTCGGTTTTAATGGTTATTTATTATGATTTTCCTTCAGCAATTTAAATCTGCATCAAAGTAGAAACTTTGAGAACCCTATTTATTTTAGTCAAAAATATTAGGGACTAGTTTAGTATGCAGACTAAATATTTGGGATCAAAACAATATTTCTCCCAAATGGTGGGAAGAGTTATGCAAGTGTGTCAATGCATTAAAGAACGCTTATTATCTTATGGTTCCAATCGGAATAACCTTTAAGGATCACTGCTTTTTGATCATTCGATCCAAACCTCGGCACCCAAAATCCATGCAGGATTATCTCCATCAAATTTCTCATTATTGGTATCTTCATTTATTCATATTTAAATCATGTAATGTAATAAAATTATGAAATTGTATCATTATTATTCTTTGTATATCTATATTAACATGATAATTGTTTTGAAAATATTTTGACATTCAATTTACATGAAATATATGAATGGTGAAAAATAGGTCAAAATTGTAACAAAATTTACAATGATTAATCAGACAATAAAACTTAATCAATTTGACACTAAATTTTACGTATAACATAAATAATGAAATATATTATGAATAGTATTGATTTTTGAAAATTAATTTTTATTAAGCATAATGAAGAGATGTTCTCTCCAATGCAATTGAGCAAGTCATGTCCATATATAACGGTTTCATCGTTTCTTCAAGCATCCAATTAAGGGTTATGATGGAATGAGTGAAGCCTCCAATAAACATTATGTCCAAACCTCATTACTAGGCGATGGTCATATCTTTGAAGTAATTACTGTTTTTTTTCTATATTTTCTTATTCTATATTTTTATACTACACCAGTAATAAAAGGGAGTTGAGATTTTTTATGGTTTTCAAATGCAATTTTCATCATCTTAATTGTTATAAGTTTCTAAGTACTGATAGTGTATGCACTGGTGAGGTTTTCATACATACAAAATTTGAATTTTAAATTTAAATTAAGATTAATTGTCATACATTCAAATTCGATAGTGCATATACAGACCAGTGTATATAAGATTAATGTTAAATTAAAAATCTTTTTTTTTAAGGAAACTCGTGATGTTAAACTATTATTAAGATTAATGTTATGATGTTAAGTTCACAACTTTTGCCAAAAAAAAAAGGAAAAAAAAAGCACAACTAAAGATGCCAATGCCCTCATCCTTTCGGTCAATGAATATGGGGACCTTTTTCACTTTGGAGCAACAGGTACTGCCCTAGCTATGATGATTTGAAGACTGTCCAAGAGTTCCTCAGTGTCCAGCACAACACCATGAACAGCTCTGTCCGATAAATACGTCTCAGCCCATCCCCACCAGGGCTGTTGTCTTGGCTTCATCAAGAAATTTCACATACAATTATATTTCCCAAGCCTTTATCCATCCCAAGTGGCAGCACAGAGCAATATCAAGAAAAGCTACAGTTTCCTAGACTTTGACAAATACTTCCTCAAAATATATTAGGCCTCTTAATATTCTCTCCACCAAACCTGACTGTGACTCCTCGTCTGTTGCGGTTGGAAGCTCCCGGAAAAACGTAAGCCACTGCATAATAAACTAAGCCACATCAGTACAAGCAGGAATTAATATTTGCCACTTACCAGTGCAACCGTTTATATAATGGGGTACAATATTTTAAAAATACTCTAGTTTATCACTAACCACTTTTACAATTTTACGTTCAATTACTGTTCATATTGGCGTATATATGTTATTTATCTCGATAATGTGTCTTTATTCGACCTTTTTATTTGACTTTTTTGCATTAGTTTATAGCCACCAACTTATGAACGGTTGTGAGTATACCGTCTGTGTCCTTAGTCCATTAGTACATAATGCAATGATTGGATATTGAACAATTTGATTCAACACAACAAATTGGCTTAGTGCACCAATTGCCAGTTTTTTGGTTTCACTCCTAGAGGGTGCCTTAAGTACACCCGTCTCATTCATTCCCATTCTCCTCCTCTTGGCATAGGACCAGTTGCAATTGTTGTATTAAAAAGAAAAAAGAAAAAAATGATAAGGTAGGAAAGGCATATGTCGTAGTACTTTTTCATCAATGTTAGCTGCCCTAAAGCGGGCTATGGCACGGTCATAGGGACCAGAAGGGCGGATAGAGGACCATCCGACGAGAAGTCATCGATGCACTGGACAATCACAATTTACAGTTACTCACAGATGGGCTTATCGCCGTGGAGGAGTACTCGGATGCTCTTGTGAGCAGGATTAGATTGAAGAAGGAGCCCACGTTTCCCCGCAACGGATCTTCTGTCTCACATTTTGTGCCATTCTCTGTCCTATTTTTTATTATATTACTACTTCTCTTATATAAACACTATGTTTTAGTTCTTTTTTTGTTTCCTTAAGATCCAATAACTATTAATTGAGTAATACAAAAAATTTAACAAAATAAAAAAAAATAAAAATGCATAAAAAATGATATTTTTTATGAATTATCCGCAACGAGACAAAGAATGGCACATGGCGTGGGACAGAAGATCCGTTGCGGATGAATTCATAGTGTATTGATTTGAGATTTAGGGCAACCTGAACCCGATTCACAAATTGGCTTGCTTGAACACCAAAGTAGCTTCACACCATTTGTAACCATGGCCTTAACTTTGGGCTCAAAAGACAAACTGAAAAGTTAAAACTTCTTAGAGTAGATAGATGAGAAGTTCTCGCCGGTGATCGGTAGTATTTATAGATGGAAGCTTGGAAGGCAGGTGTGTGTGAAATGTCAACAATTAAGTTATGCCAGCTGATAATTGGCAAGTAATGAAAAATTTCAGACTATCCATTGAAAGAAATATTGCTGAAAAGAGGAAACTAGAGACAGTTTTTTCTTTTACTAAAGGTCTGTTTGATAACATACAAAAGTGTTGAAACTGAATCTTTTCAGATATTCAGATGTTTTGAGTGTTTGATAAATGAAAATCTATCTGCTGAACTTGTTAAGCAGTGCTGAACTTGTGTGTATTTTTTTCAGCACAAGAATCCTAACTGAATGCTTAATTCGGATAAAAATCAATAGAATTACTTCAACTACGTTATCTTCTCTACCAAATCTACCCTTATTTGTTAATCATATTCAAAATTCGTATCTCATTAAACAATCTGGTATTTTCTATTTAACGGTTTTTTGTTTCTCTTTTCTCCCTTTTTAATGACTTTCACATCTTCTCCATACTTTTCATATAATATATTTCATCTTTTATATTAATTTGATTTAAAAATAAATATTATCATTTTCATACCTAACAATTTTAAGCTAATTAAATCATATGTTCTATTTCTTTTTTGAATGAAAAGATATAAGGGCAAAATTGTCAAATTAAACTTATTAAGCATTCAGTTATAAATATTTATCAAACAATATAAATAGCTTAGTATTAAAATTCAGACATTCATATATTTTTTTTCATTGTTTAAAATTCAGTAAATTAATTGTTTCATTATTCAGATTTCAAAATTCAAACTTCAAAATTCAGATTCTGTTTTATCAAATGGAACCTAAGTGATGATTTTAAGTTTTAACTTCCATCAAATTACAACTTAACAAGAAACGTCTCAGAAGATTATGAATTATGATTACCATTTACCAATTACCAAATCTAGTCACTTCCAGGCCCTTTTTTTTTTTGTTTGGATGTGCTTTTATGATGACGATAATTGAATATGACAACGGTGGTAAGAAATTTAATCATATGTATAAAAATTTTGTAGGTTAACTAGAGTTAGAACGTTTAGTTGATAAAGTGATATTATAACTAATTAGTCCATGTGATAATTATAATATAATAGTCCATTGAGGGAAAATGGAGAGGACCCTAATCCACATGCGTATGTTATAAGATAAGTTAGGTTAAAAAAAAAGAGGATACGCTGGGGTGAGTACTTGCATAAATTGGAAGAAAAGAAAGAAAACGTGAAAGCATGTATTTTAGGGCAACAGCGTGTTTTATTAATTTTATTTTACTTTCTTTTGTAGATACGCAGCAATCAATAATAAATAATTTAGCCAATTTCACCGTCTTCTCTTATTCCATTCTCCTAAATAATGTGATCGTGGCCAAAGCCAGATAGAATCAAAAAATTATATCTAAAGAAATGCGTGTATAAGTAGGGCAATAACAAAATATAGGCTTAAGAAAATGCAGAAGTTAACATTGATCGAAGTTAATGGTGGAGAAAAGAACTATAATTGGGACTTAAAAATGATTTGGTGTGCTGTGCCATTAGCAAAGCCGATAATTGTCATGGATACTAAATTGTACAGAGTCAAAAGAATAATTGGGACTTATATTGTACGTTCATTTTCATGTGTCAAAAGCGCACCTAGGCTGAAAACTAACGACTTCATGAAAATCAGCACAGTATCATTTCAGGCATCATGGCTCTTACAATTCTGAGACCATTTTGAAAGAACAGTAACATAAAAAAAGAGAAACTCTTAATATAGGAATGTGAAAAACTGAAATTTAACCAGCTTTTCACTATAAATATTGCTTGTTCAACTTTAATTGAAATCCAAAATTAGATATAAGCAGGCTACAAATAATGAAAATTGACTCTTAATGGAGGCTTTGGATGTATCACACCTTGGTATTACAATCCCTGTTACACCTTGTATTAAAATGATACAGAAGTACAAAAGTAAGAGTGACCTAATACCAAGATTGTATCATCACGTCAAAAGCAGTTGATCTCGCAAGCTGTGGCCTACTCCATATAAATATTTTACTTGTTCTAAACTTGATTGGGTATATGTGCATCAATGAAAATGGTACGGAATGTCATACCAGGACAATCAATGTTTGAACTTTTCAAAAACTTTTGATGATTCTTTGCTAATATTTTATTTTGACAGAATGACCATAAGATGGACAACTTATGCCTGAACTAATTTGTAACAAGAATGGTTACATTTTGGTTCCAACTGGAATGTGCCTTATGCATAGTAATTCCAAGCTTTTCTTTCATGTCCATGTCTTCTGGTCTCATCCTTGCTTCGAGCTTCCAATCAAAAGTATGAAGGAATGAAGCCACCATGAGATGAACCATTCGATCGCCCAGCGGAATTCCAGGACAAATTCTCCTGCCTGTGCCAAACGGAAGGAGCTCAAAATGCTGCCCTTTTACATCAATTTCACTGTCCAAGAGTCGTTCAGGCACAAATGATTCAGGGTTCGACCACAAGCTCGAATCTCTACCAATGGCCCGAATGTTAACAAGTACTAGAGTATTTTTTGGCACAATGTACCGGTCAATTTCTACATCGGCCTCATAGTAGCGGCTCACTGTGGTGACTGGAGGGTGAAGGCGAAAGGTCTCTTTAACAATTGCCTTCAAGTAAGGGAGCGCCAAAATGTCTGATTCCTGAACTAGTTTATGTTGTCCAACGACTTCTCTGATCTCAGATCTAGCTTTTTCTCTTTTTTCAGGGTTCCGCAACAAGTCTGCAATTGCCCATTCTACTGTTGATGAAGTTGCCTCAAATGCTGCAAGAAAGAAATCCTGTACCAGAATGGAGTCAGATATGTATTCAAGATTTCTCTTTTTCTTTGAGTTCTGCTAAGCTTTTGCAAATTCTGATTTAAAGCTCGTCCGTTGATTGGATCCAAAACATTGTCTCAGGTTTGCATATGGATGAAATCTATGATCTTGGGAATTTATTTGAGTGACAAGATTACTAATTAATGCAGCTAATAGATAACCTCATCCCATTAATGCAACAAACTAATATAATCTCGTGTATAATTTCCACTACTGTCCTAGCATTTCGAGATAGAAAAGAAAGGAAGAAGAAATTTTGGTGTCTACAGCAATTTTCCATCTAAATTGTTCATAAAATCGAGTAAAAGAAAGAAAACCATAATTATCTAGACAAACAATTGCCGTTAGATTTACCAGAAATTAGTAACTTTTCTTGATTTTTGGACAAAATATATCACAGGAAAGTTTAGGATTCGATACTCAGGAGAAGCACATGTTTTATGTCCGTCATGCTCCATTCATTTTTTGTGCTGCTGACTGAGATCGAGTAGAACTAGAACTTCTAACAAGTCATTCTCCTCAAATAAGCAGGGGATTTCCCTCTTTCTTGTAAGTCCAATAATCTCATCGAATTTTCCAAAGTAAAAGTTGGTCTTACGCCTAATACCCTGTGGATCAATCGCTGGGAGCATGGGAAAGAAGTCAGAAAGATTTGGTTTGGCTATGATACCCACCACACCGGATATAATTTCGATCACCTCTTGAGACGCATTTGACTCATAATCAGCAAAATCAACAGAGAATAAGGTGTTTGACAGAAAATTCAGGGATGTTGTGAAGGCTGCTGCACCTATATCCACAGCTTCCTCCTTAATGGCAACAATCGTGGACATGATTACAAAGTTGTTGCACCACCTTTTCTTGACGGTGCCCTTCGCTAGCATTGAGTCGTTCTGAGGACAAAATTTGTTCTTTCAACAGTTTGCGAAGATTACGCCATTTGCTATTTATTGAAGTTATTTCTCAATTTTCTCAATTTCTCAAAGGTTGAAGCTGATTAAGTGGAATCTAAATAATGGATAAAAGACAAAGAGTAAGTTCTATACAAGTTTTTCGCTATTTGGATTTGTAAACATCATGCTATGTCTCCATGAGGACAAAATAACAATTAAATATAGTTGAACTATGACTAAGAAAAGAAAAAAAAGAAAACACAACTACTTCGATGCAAACTTACATTGAAAAAAGGGTTAATTTTTCCTTTGTACCCTTTAACTAGACCTGAAATCTTATTTTGACCACTAAACTTCAAAATGAGACACTTTAATCTGTAAATTATAAAATTTATCATACTTTAATCACAATAGTATAAAATTTATCCATTTTAGTCTTGAAAGTATAAAAGTTGCCCCTATTTAGTCCCCAAGTATATCTACTTACACATAAAACCTGTTTCACTTCCTTAATGATGTTACTTAAGTGAAACAAATTTTATTGCTCTGAGGACTAAAATGTCCCATTTTAAACTTTGAGGAACAAAGTAAAAATTTGAATATAGGTGAAGGGTGCAAAATGAAATTAACTCAAAAAAATGTGGATGCCAAGTACTATTACTTTTTAAATTGCTAATGAAGTAAATGGTCGCTGGAGGCATGATCCAGCAAAGTACTATGCTTTTTCTTTTCTTTCGGTGTATTTTACTTAACTTCAATGATTAGGAATCTACTCATGAACAATATAAAATCATCATCAATCCACGTTCAAGCATATTTGCTTCTGATTCAACAATTAATCAGTGAATAAATTGCATAAAATAACTCCAAAAATTAGCATGACAGAACTTGGAAGAAACAATAGCCAAAAAGAACTTTAGCTTATTTGTTCGATTAACATAAACATTCTTGCAAGCGTTCAGGTTATTAATACCTTAGTGAACTAGAAAGAAGTCTTAGGCCTAGTTTTGGGGGTCATAATTTGGAGTGAAAAGAGGAGAAGACTAGAGAAAGTTATGTTTCCCTCATTTTGAAATTCTAAGAAGAGAAGGATGGTTTGCATAAAAAGTAAGCAAGCTGATAATTGGCATGTTTTAAACTAATGAAAATTGAAAGGAATATTGCGGAAAAGGGGAAATTAGAGACAGTTACTTATTAACTGATGGTTTTAAGCTTTAACTTCCATCAAACTATAACTTAATAAGAAACGTCCCAAAAGCTTATGAATTATGATTAGAACTTACCATTTACCAAATACAGTTTACTTTGATAAGGTCAGTTGATAAGAAAGTAATGTCGTTTGGGTTTTGGCGTCAAGACAAAGATGTCAGTAGGTATAGATTTCTTTGGAGCTGGTTAATCATATTCCCTGTCTAATTTTTGTTTGATTTTAATCATGCATTTGCTGTCGTACAAGATGCTATAAAGAATGCAGAAATGGACGAGCCAAAGAAATTAATTAAAAGATAATTGGGAATATTGAATTTTGTTGTTGCAAATATAACATAAGTTGGGGGGAAAAATGTTAGATAAGGGGGGATGGAGTAGTTGCATAATTGAAGAAGAAATAAAAGAAATAGTGAAATAAACTATTTTAGGTTTTAAGAGATAACAACTAGATTAGTCGTTGATTCTCTAATGGTGACAACTTGATTTGTTTGTTTTGTAGATGTTCTGCAATCAATAGTAAATAATTTAACCAATGCCATCGTCTTCTCTTAATTTTATCCTCTTAAATAATGTGATCGGGATTATCATCACAGCTGGATAGAATTAAAAAAAAAAAATTAAAGAAGTAGGGGTAAGTGAGGAATACAAAATCGGGCTTTTGAAAATGTAGAAGTAAAATTGTTGGAAGCTAATCGACTTTTTTTTTTTTTTTGATAAATAATTTGAGGGCTTAGTTGCTTGCTTTTGATAGACAAAATATTATGTAGTGGTGGGGAAAAGAATCAAATTTGGGGCATTAATTGATTTCGAGGGCCATGCAACCACCAAATTCTACAATTATCATGAACACTAAATTATGCTGAAAATCATATATAACTAGTATGATGGTTGTGTCTATTTGTTTGGTATCAAGGCAAGAATAAGATAAACAATCGTACAATAACAAGTGGGGCTTGAAAAAATAACTTCAAAAGATGATATTGTAAGTTCATTTTCGTGCACCAAAAGCGCATCGACGCTTAAAATTCAAGAGGGCAAACTAAATCAGCACTGACCAATTTGAATGAGAACAGCAACATAAAAAGGGAAACTCTTAGCTGCCAGAATCTGCATGGAAAAAGCTGCAAATTAACCAGCATTTTACTAAAAAAAAAAAAAAAATGCTTGTTTAACGTTTACAGAAACTTAAAACTAGATATTGGCAGATTAAAGAAATTGAAAATTGACTGATTATTTTCCTAAGTCATTGAAGATTGTTTTGGCAAGAGAAATTTGGAAGTATTTCATTAACGTGTTATCTCTTTACAATCCATAAAACCTGCTAGTCGGCCGTGTACATGTTGAAGAAAGCTGCAGCTTCGCCAATTATTCAGTTCGAAGCACATTTATTTAGACGACACCTGCAGATAATGTTAATATATTAGAGATAACCAATAGATAATGGTTGATCCTTACAAGTACGACTGTATCAATCATTAGAACTATCAAAGCTATTATAGAAGTAATTTCTCAATTTTGAATTCTTTGGAAGGTGGAACAAATTAATTTAGATGATAATGCATCTTGGCAGTAATATTTATTTTGACAATCAAATCTATTGTTGAATGTGCAATCTGTAGTTTAGAACTAAAGGTGCGAATGTTTAAGCTACTCAATGTAATAACAATGGCGGGAAGAAAGCAAAACCTAAGTCGTACATAGGTATATTTTGCTCTGCGCTAATGGACATTTCCATGGGGAACATGTTTGGATAGGAAATCACTATGCTGAAGAGTTTGATTTCTTTGACCAGGGTAAAGCTTCATTTTTAATGTTTACTATTTGAATTTTTAAGTAATTACCACAATTTGATATTAGAAGGATGTAAAGAAGGCAATTGATAATTTGGGGGGGGGGGGGAGAAACCCACAATATTTGGACCATACTGAAATAACTATAAACGCAAATATTTTCCTACTATTTCTTGGATTTCCTCATCCCACTTTTGAATTAGTAATTTTGATATTTTCATTCTCAATTTTGTGTTGATGAATTTAATAAAAGCGAGTTAAAGCAAATGAAACTTAGAAAATTAATATCAACTTAATACTTAGAGATGAGTTCAAGAAGGATAGGCCTAGTTGAAAACTTAGAAAATTAATATCAACTTTAGACATGAGTTCAAGAATAATAGGCCTAGTTAAAACTTAGAATCCTTCTCGCTGCTGTCAGGTTTAAGATTTGTGCCTAATAGTTAGGGGTAATGAAAGATATAGGGAGGGGTGGGAGGATTTTTTTTTTTTTTTTTTTTAAAAAAAGGATATGAATCATTATATATCGGAATAAGCTAGACTTGAATATATGCTATGTCTGGGTGTAACAAATTTATGATACTATCATACCCTATGTAACAACACCAAAAGTAAGAGCCAGAGTAATACCAAAAGCGTGTCATCGCCTCAAAAAACAGTTTGTCTTGCATGTAAGAAAATGATACGTATTGTACTTGTTCTAACCTTGATTTGATGTGCATGTAAGAAAATGATAGAGAAAGCGATATTAGTCCGATCATTTCTTTAAGGAACATTTCAATGGAAATGGGGCTCTTCAGTTGAGTTTCGTCTGATTGAGTCCAATTGCCTAATTTTTACAATATTTGGTGTAAATTTATACAGCTTTAGTTATGTGAGAGGTCAAATTTCACTACTACACAAAAGTTGTATACGAAATATTGTAAGAATTACATTAAAGCTAGACAAAATTCAACACTCCGGATCCCGTTTCAATTCCTGGTTCTTTGCTAATATTATTTTGACAGTCTGATCATAAGGACAACTTATGCCAGAAGTATAAGTAAAACAAATCATTACATTGTGGCTTTAATTGGAATGGCTTTAAGGTGTACTGCCTTCTGCATTGTGATTCCAAGCTTTTCACTCATGTCCACACCTTCTGGCTTCATCCCATCTTCAAGCTTCCAATCAAAGTTATGAATGAGTGACGCCAATATCAGATGAAGCATCCGCTCGGCCAGCGGCATCCCAACACATATTCTCCTGCCTGTGCTAAATGGAAGGAGCTCAAAATGATGGCCTTTGACATCAATTTCACTGTCTAGGAATCTTTCAGGCACAAATGAATCAGGGTTCGACCACACGCTCGAATCTCTACCAATTGCCCAAAGGTTAACAAGTACTACAGCATTTTTGGGTACAATATACTGGTCAATTTCTATGTCGGCCTCGTAGTGGCGACTCATTATGCTGACAGGAGGGTAAAGGCGAAAGGTCTCTTTAACAATTGCCAGCAAGTATGGGAGTGCAGAAATGTCTGATTCTTGAATCAGTTTACGATGTCCAATGACTTCTCTTATCTCAGTTTTAGCCTTTTCCATTTTTTCTGGGTTCCTCAGTAACTCAGCCATTGCCCATTCCACCGTAGAAGTTGTTGTATCAAATGCTGCAATAAATAAATCCTGAAACAAAATATGGTCAGATATCTTGCCTGATTTTAGCTTCCAATCTTAAGGTTTGTAAATTGGATTTGCAGCTCAGTCCACTCTCATACAATTCTGAAATTTTTCATAACGTATTGCGTAATTCAAAGTACATTAACACTGTTCAATTCCGGATTATAGGTAACTCAATATCCACACACACACTTTTGACAAAAAAAAAAAAAAAATTTCCACACACACACACACACAGAGATTGAGCCCCTAGTTCACATAGGCATGAGAGCCTATTTTCCTGTTCATTCGAGTGACGGTGTTAATTAATGCAACAATACACAGCCTCATCTCACGTCTTTTAATCTTTTGACCTTCAAAGGAACTAATAAAATACCATGGATGATATAATATCCACTGCCTGTATTCCGAGAAAAAATAGTAACTGTCTAAATTCTTTATAAAATCCTAATATAAGAGAGAAAACCATAACTATTGAGGGAGTTATGGCTAACAGATCTGCCAATAATTATCACCCTGTGTATCAGTGAAAAGTTTAGGAGTAGATACTCACGAGAAGCAAATGTTTTGCGTCCTCAATGCTCCATTCAGTTTTGCGCAGCTGAGTCAGGTCAAGGAGGACCTCCAACAAGTCATTTCTCCGACGATAAGCAAGGGATTTCTCTCTTTCTTTTAACCGTTGACTAATAATTTCATCGAATATTTGAAGCAATTTTCTGAAGTAAAACTTGATCTGGCGCCTAATACCCTGTGGATCAATCGCACGGAGCACCAGAAAGTAGTCTGAGAGATTAGGTTTGGCTATGATGCCCAACGCAGCGGATATAATTTCTTTCAGGTCTTGAGATGAATTTGACTCGTAATGACCAAAATCAGCAGAGAAGAAAGTGTTGGACACAACATTAACGATTGTTGTGAAGGCGGCTTCACGTATATCAACAGCTTACCCGTTAATGCAAAAGCCATGGACATAATTACAAAGTTGTTGCACCTTTTCTTGACGGAGCCCTTGACTAGCATTGAGTCGCTCCGAGGAGAAAAGTTGTTCTTTGCACAGCTTGCGAAGATTGCGCCATTTGCTATTTGCTGGTAACCAGATAACAGAGAACTTGTGATGATCGAATGCTCGGACTGAATCAGGGACTAGTTTTGAGGTGTAGACATGATCATATTTTTGAAATAATTCTTTGGCTACTTTTGGTGAGGATACAATAATCATTGTTCTGTTCAGTACCTTAATTGACATCAAAGGTCCAAATGTTTTGGAGAGTTTTGATAGTGCTGAATGGAGAATTCCTCTGAGCTGGAACGTGTTTCCAACTATGGGATATTGGTATGGCCCTGGAGGAAGTTTCCTGGACTTGTGGCCGTGATAGCGGCCAAAGAACCGATACAAAATGAGTAGTAGCAGTGCTACTTGTAGCAAAAGGGAAAGGGGTAGCTTCTCCATGTTTATCTCGCAATTTCCTCTCTTCTGCTTTAGCTACATGTCCTCTGTCTGTCTAAAGATTTAATGGCGAGAATGGCTGGAAATCGATTCATTATATTTTCAAATTGTTGTGCACTGTTGAAATTTCGCTATCAATAACCAACTCCATCACCTTGCCAAAGTTCTGTACTGGTTTTTTGCTATTTGGATTTTTAAACATTATGCTCTGTCTCCATGAGGATAAAAAACCAATTAAATATGGTTGAACTATAACCGGAGAAGAAAAAACTACATTGATGCAAACTTATACCGAAGAAAAAAATCGATACCAACTACTATTAGCTTTTTAAATTGCTAGTGAAGTAAATGGTAGCTGGATGCATGATCCAGCAAACTACTATGCGTTTTCTTTTCTTTTCTTTTCTTTTGGTGTGTTTTCCTTAATTTCAATGATTTGGAATCTACTCATGAACAATATAAAATCATCATCAATCAACGTTCAAGCATATTTTCTTCTGATTCAAGAATTAATCAGTGACATAAATTGCATAATATAATTTTGCCCCTCAGAAAATTAGCTTGACAGGACTTGGAAGAAACAATAGCCAAAATGAACATTAGCTTATTGGTTCGATTAATATAAAAGTTCTTGCAAGCGTTCAGGTAATTAATACTTTTGTGAACTAGAAAGAAGTCTTATTACTAGTTTTGGGGGTTGTAATTTGGAAAGAAAGGAGGAGAAGACTAGAGAAAGTTAAGTTTTGCTCGTTTTGAAATTCTAAGAAGAGAAGTAAAGAATGGGGAAGACATAGAGGGATGGTTTGCAGAAAAAAGTAGGCAACCTGATAATTGGCATTGTTTAAACTAATGAAATTGAAAGGAATATTGCTTAAAAGGGGAAATTAGAGACAGTTGCTTATTAACTGATGGATTTAAGCATTAACTTCAATCAAACTATAACTTAACATTAAACGTCCCAAAAGGTTATGAATTATGATTAGAACTTACCATATACCAAATATTGTTTACTTTCAGCATTTTATTTTTATTTTATATTTTACTTTTGGATGTGCTGTATCATGAGTATGGATGCAAACTGCTCATGAGTACTCATGCTTTGGGTCGGTTACAGTTCGACTCGACCAAATCAAGTTATAGAATTCGAGCCAATCATAGAGAAGTTTAGTTCTTTAACTTGCAAGTCAACTTGATTATACATATTTATTTTTTATTTTAATAGTGAAATTATATATATATTTCTAATATTTTTATTATTCATTAAGAAAAATGAACATTTTATTCATTTTTAAAATAAAATAATCATTTTTTTATTTTTAAACTCGAGAAGGTTTGAGTTTGAGTTTGATTAGGCTTGAATTTGAACTAGAATTTGGCATTGGAAGCTCATTGAGCACGAGATCGAATTCAAATTTCATAAAATTGACTTGAGCTTCACCTCAATTAGGTCAAAGTTCAACTTGATTCGGCATGGAAAGAAGCTTAATCCATATGCGCATGGCATTTGGGTTTTGCTGTCAAGACAAAGATGTTTGGCAGGTATAGATTCCTTTGGAGCTTGTTAATCTGATTCCTGTCCAATTTTTTGTTTGATTTTAATCATGCATTTGCTGTCGTACAAGATGCTATAAAGAAGGCAGATATGGAAGAGTCAAAGAAATTATTTAAAAAACAGTTGGGAATATAATATTTAGTCGTTGCAAATATAACATAAGGGTGGGGGAAAAATGTAAGATAAGGTGGGATGGAGTTGTGGCATAATTGAAGAAGCAATAAAAGAAAAGGCAATTATTTTAAGTTTTTAGTGATAACGACTGGATTAGTTCTTGATTCTCTAATTGTGACAACTTGATTTATTTATTTTGCAGATATTCTGCAATCAATAGTAAATAATTTAACCAATGCCACCGTCTTCTTGTATTCTATCATCTTAAATAATGTGATCGGGATTATCATCAGCTAGACAGAATTAAAAAAAAATTAAAAAAAAATTAAAGAAGTATGGGTAAGTAGGGGATAAAAAATTTGGGCTTTTCACAGCTAGATAGCTGTTTGCTCTTAATAGATAAAATATTACGGAGTGGTGGATTAAAGAGCCAAATTTGGGGCTTTAATTGATGTGGGGGGCCATGCAACCGCCAAAGTTGACAATTATCATGGGCGGTAAATTATCCTGAAAATCATATATAATTAGAGGAGAGTGATGGTTCTCTCTCTCGTTCTCTTTGCCTTCTTTATACTTTCAATTTTTTCTCCTAAGAAATCCTAGTGAGAATTTTGTCTCTCCTAATGTTTTATTAGTTTGAATTTTCTTCTCTCTTAAGCTTTTCTAGTGAGAGTTTTGTTTAATTTTTCTCAAATGTAAGAGTTTTTTTTTTTCAGATCTATATGTCGGATCTGAAATTTCTTATATCTTTTCATCGGATCTCATTATTAATTTTGAGTTTGAAATAGTTGAATAGCAAATCTAAGCAAATAGACATATACAAATATCTATGGAGCAGCTCGTGCAATTGGTCAGATTTGATTGTTTGTGATTCACAGTGTAGTCTTTTATATTTTATAACTCCATTAAATCTTATCATTTTTAAGATCAAATATATGTGTGACATGTTTTATGAATTTTTTGCCATTAGTACAGATTGCTTTGTCAAGCAAATCATACCAGCTGATTTTCAACTAGTTTATTAATAATATTGACTTCAGTTTTATTTTTTTTTTCAAAAAAAAGCGCATCTAGGCTTAAAATTCAAGAGGGCAAACTAAATCAGCACTGACCAATTTGAATGAGAACAGCAACATAAAAAGGGAAACTCTTAGCTGCCAGAATCTGCATGGAAAAAGCTGCAAATTAACCAGCATTTTACTAAAAAAAAAAAAATGCTTGTTTAACGTTTAAAGAAACTTAAAACTAGATATTGGCAGACTAAAGAAATTGAAAATTGACTGATTATTTTCCTAAGTTATTGAAGATTGTTTTGGCAAGAGAAATTTGGAAGTATTTCATTAACGTGTTATCTCTTTACAATCCATAAAACCTGCTAGTCAGCCGTGTACATGTTGAAGAAAGCTGCAGCTTCGCCAATTATTCAGTTTGAAGCACATTTATTTAGACGACACCTGCAGATAATGTGTTAGTATATTAGAGACAACCAATAGATTCCTGACAAGTACGACGGTATCAGTTATTAGAACTGCCAAATCTATTATAGAAGTAATTTCTCAGTTTTGAATTCTTTGGAAGGTGGATCTTGACCTTTTTTAATTTTGCTTCGAAACAAATTAATTTAGATGATACTGTTTCTTGGCAGTAATATTTATTTTGACGATCAAATGTATTGTTGATTGTGCTATCTGTAGTTTAGAAATAAAGGTGCGAATGTTTAAGCTAATCAAGTGTAACAACAATGGTGGGAAGAAAGCAAAATTAAACCTACGTTGGCATTTCCATGGAGGACATGTTTGGAGAGGGGAAAGGGAAAGACAGAAGCAAAAATGCTTGATAGGGTATTAATTGTTAGTAATTTTATCGTTAATTCTCCTCTTTATCCTTGCCAAATATTGCTTTAATTGTGACATGTACTAATATTTGGCATCTGGACTCAATTTCAGGAAGTGGAGCAGAAAAGAGAGATTTTCTTACAACAAATACTCCACACGTGGGAAGTTTCTAAAGAAAATACAAGCTAAGTTCCACGGGTGTATTTGTGCTGGAATTGATGATTATAGTGGACTCCTCCGTTTTGATAATTGCAGAGGAATTGATGATTGTGCTGGAATTAATTGGGATGATGTTTTCTTTCATTATCTAACGGGGACCACGTAGAAAGTTTGTCCTTATTGTGGGAGATATACTCATTAGTCATTAGCTAAGATGTTGGCTTTGATGATTGTAGCTTTCCAATTGCTTCCTACGTAGCTTTGATTATTGTGGGAGACTAGTGCTCCAATAAAATAACAAGGCACTAGATTAGTGGGCTCAAGGAGAAAAGACTATGAAAAAGCTATGAAGACTAAAGGCTTGCCTTATATATATCAGACGATAGCTTCATAAGCCATTAGACTAGTTTTTAGTTTGCTCTCCAAGAAGCTCCGTAGGTAGAATAGGTAGTTGATTGGTTTGTTGGATTTTGGGTGTGAAGTTTTCTCCAGAAGTTTGTTTTTTTGTTTCTTCGGTCTCTTTCATTCAACTAGTTTCTTCCATGAAACTAGTTTTATTGCATTAGATTACGGAGAATCAAATTTTCATTTTCAGTTACTAGCAAGAGTTATTTATGTCTTCGAATTCAATTAAATTGCGTGGGAATTTTCTTATGAGGCGTGGCTAATTTTCTCCTCTAGTCAAGGATCAACGCGAAGACGCAGTCCCAAATATCTGTGAGATCTAATTAATTTTACGTGTTCCTTAATTTGTTAATATTTGCATGTTTTCTATTTTAATTTTCATGGGATTATTTTGTTAATTGGATATCAAGGGCCCGATGTGCAATTTGACTTATTAATCTCTTGTCAAATTAATCAATTAAATCCGTAATTGTTTAGTTGGTTAATATTAGTGACAACTAGTATTTTCACATACTAGGAGAACATGCAATCTGATTTAAATAACCCTCGTAGCGTGTTATTAATTTGGGTTAGGCTTTTCTAGTTTTTAATGCAATTAGGAAATTAATTCCTACAGTCGTACCTAGGAGTATTTTCTGGTTAGGGGTAATCAATGGTCGTACCTTGGTTATCAATAAATTAAGGAAAAGCTGGTCGTTAGAGCTTATCGGCGACTATAACTAACCTGTTAATAAAATTAAGTGAACTTTCTTTGCATCAATGATCGGATGAATGGACTGTGTCTGCATAGTTGTATCCTTGGCTAGAATTTATTTATCATTTATTTAATTGCTATTTACAATTGTATTAATTAATTATTTATTTTTGGTTAATTATTTTTAGTTAAATTGTTTAATTATTTATTTTTAGTTTTATCTGATAAAAATCCCCCGTGTCTCGAATTTAAAAAGAATCAAATTTTTTTTTCCAGTCCCTGTGGATTCGACCCTACTTACTACTATACACAGAAAATTTATTTTTCTTAAGCAGGTATTTATTATTGCACAGGCACGACACCTGTCAATGCTGCAGTTTGGTTCAAGAGAGGACATCCCGACGCGTAGGGTGAATGAGGTAGAAACGTCCTCTATCCAACAGCAGATCTCCGAATTAACATCTTTCGTCAGACAATTAGCTGTGGGAAGTGCCTCGCAAGCCAAAGTGTGTGGGGTGTGCACTGCCGTAGGTCATCCTACGGAAATGTGTCCACTGGTTCAAGAAGAAACTGCAGAACAGGTGAACATGGCTGGCCACGCGCCCGCGCCAAGAAAGCCGTATGATCCATACTCAAACACCTACAATCCTGGTTGGAGGGATCACCCCAACCTTAGCTATGGAGGAAATAGGCAGTCTAACTTTGTGCCAAATAGACAGCAAGGACACCAACAGCAGTACCATCCTCGCCCACCACCACCACCCCCTTCAAATTCAAGTCCGTCCATGGAAGAGATGATGAAGCAATTACTTGCTAATCAACAAAAGACGGATTCAGACTTGCAAAGCATGAGAAATCAATTGGGACAGGTGCAATCATTGCAAAATCAAATGAATCAAATGGCTATAACAATCAATCGTTTGGAGTCCCAAGTTCAAGGAAAGTTGCCATCTCAACCTGAGGCAAATCCAAAGAATGTAAGCGCAATGACCTTAAGGAGTGGCAAGGAAGTTCAAGGACCCGAACCGGTGATTCCTAAAGACAAGGACGAGGAACGGATTGAGAAAGAATTGGAAGAGGAGGGCAGAGACAACAAAAATACAAAGGTACCCTCGAACCCAATTCCTACAGCTAAAACTAATCCACCTCCCTTTCCTAGCAGGTTAGAGAAACCAAAGAAGCAAGACAAGGAAAAAGAGGTCCTGGAGATCTTTCGCAAGGTGGAGATCAACATACCCCTACTGGATGCGATTAAACAAGTACCCAGGTACGCAAAATTTTTGAGGGACCTGTGTGCCAACCGCAAGCGATTGAAGGGTGATGAACGAGTTATAGTTGGGGAGAATGTTTCAGCAATTCTACAAAGAAAGCTTCCACCGAAATGCGGAGATCCAGGTATGTTTACTATTCCTTGTAGGATAGGTAATATTTTGATTGGAAAGGCCATGTTAGATCTAGGAGCATCGATTAATGTCATGCCGAAATCTATTTATGCTTCTTTGAATTTAGGCCCTTTGAAAGAAACTGGGATAATAATCCAATTAGCTGACAGGACCAATGCATACCCTGACGGGTTGATTGAAGATGTTTTGGTAAAAATTAATGAATTGGTTTTTCCAGCTGATTTTTATGTGCTCGACATGGAGGATGAACACTCCCGTGATCCGTCACCTCTATTGTTAGGTAGACCCTTTTTGAGCACAGCCCGAACCAAAATTGATGTTAATAAGGGTACTTTGTCTATGGAATTTGATGGTGAGATTGTTCACTTTAACATCTTTGAGACCATGAAATATCCATCCGATTCAAATGTTGGCTCTGTTTTCTCGGTAAATGTTATTGACCCTGCTATACAGGAGGTTTTTGAAATTGAAGACAGAGATGAGTTAGAGGTTGTTCTGACCAAGCACTTCGAGTCCGAAACGACATCTGGAGTAGAGTTGAGTGAAGAGCTTAAATGCGTGATTGGATCGTTGCAAACGTTACCAACCACGAAGACAAGGTATGACCTCGCACCCATTTTTATACCTGAACCTCACAAAAGGTTACTTCCATCTGTGGTGCAGGCACCTGTATTGGAACTGAAACCGCTGCCGAAACACCTGAAGTACGCATACTTGGGTGAAGGGGAGACACTTCCAGTGATCATCTCCGCGGGTTTATCAAAGGTTCAAGAAGAGAAACTACTTCGAGTTCTTAGGGAACATAAGCAGGCAATAAGATGGACCATCGCCAATATCAAGGGAATTAGTCCCGCGGTGTGTATGCACCGAATTCGACTCGAGGAGAATTCTAAACCCGTACGGCAAGCTCAACGGAGATTAAATCCTCTCATGATGGAGGTCGTAAAAAAAGAGATTTTAAAACTGCTGGACGTTGGAATTATATTTGCAATATCAGATAGCCCGTGGGTAAGTCCAGTACAGGTGGTCCCGAAGAAGGCAGGGGTGACGGTAGAATCAAACCAAGAGGGTGAGCTCGTACCAATTCGAAAGCCCACCGGATGGCGACAGTGTATCGATTACCGAAAGCTAAATGCCGTCACGAAAAAGGACCATTTCCCCCTCCCTTTCATTGACCAAATGGTGGAGCGACTAGCATGTCGAGCTTACTATTGTTTCTTGGATGGATTTTCAGGTTATTTTCAAATTGCCATCGCACCCGAGGACCAAGAGAAGACTACTTTCACCTGCCCATTTGGAACATTTGCATACCGAAGGATGCCATTTGGATTGTGTAATGCACCTGCTACCTTCCAAAGATGCATGGTAAGTATCTTTTCAGAATATGTTGAGAAGATTATTGAGGTTTTCATGGACGATTTCAGTGTATATGGTGAAAGTTTTGAAAACTGTCTAGATAACCTGAAATTGATCTTAGTAAGGTGTATAGAAACTAATCTCGTGCTTAATTGGGAAAAATGTCATTTTATGGTTGAACACGGGATAGTTTTGGATCATGTTGTATCATCTACAGGTATTGAGGTTGATAAGGCAAAAATAGATGTTATATATACTTTACCTTACCCCGCGAGTGTGCGGGAAGTTCGTTCCTTCTTGGGTCACGCAGGTTTCTATAGAAGGTTCATCAAGGACTTCTCGAAAATTGGAGCACCATTGTTCCAACTTTTACAAAAAGATGTATCTTTCGAATTTGATGAAACATGTAAGGGGGCATTCAATAAGTTAAAGGAGTTATTGACCACCTCACCTATTATCCAACCCCCTGACTGGAACCTCCCATTCGAGATCATGTGTGACGCCAGCGACTATGCAGTGGGTGCGGTATTGGGTCAAAGAGTAGGAAAGGCAGCTCATGCTATCTACTACGCATCTCGAGCCTTGAACGGAGCTCAATTGAACTATTCAACCACCGAAAAGGAGCTTTTAGCAGTTGTTTTTGCCTTAGAAAAATTTCGGTCTTATTTACTTGGTGCTAAAGTTATTATTTTTTCTGATCATGCAGCTTTACGGTATTTATTGACCAAGAAAGAGGCAAAACCGCGATTGATACGGTGGATATTGTTGTTACAAGAGTTCAACCTGGAGATCCGAGATAAGAAAGGGGCAGAGAACCTAGTAGCAGATCATTTGAGTCGAGTACAAGTCGTCGAAGAGGACCTCCCATTGAGAGAAGCATTTCCCGAGGAGCATTTATTTTCTATTAATTCATCCTTGCCTTGGTATGCAGATATTGTTAATTTTATAGTCACTGACAAATTTCCTACAGGATGGCCTAAGGCAAAGAGAGACAAGTTGAGGAGCGATGCAAAGTTCTACATTTGGGATGATCCTTACCTCTGGAAGCGGGGTGCCGATCAAATCATCCGTAGATGTGTATGTGAAGTTGAATTTCAATCTATTCTAGCATATTGTCACTCTTTTGCATGTGGAGGTCACTTTGGACCGAAGAGAACGGCTCGTAAGGTGCTAGAGAGTGGATTCTATTGGCCAACTCTATTCAAGGATGCCTACTCATTTTGTAAGTCATGTGATAAGTGTCAAAGAGTGGGTAATATCTCTCGTAGGGATCAAATGACTCAAACCCCAATGATTTTTGTTGAAATTTTTGACGTTTGGGGCATTGATTTTATGGGTCCTTTTCCTTCGTCCTTTGGTTTTTTGTATATATTGCTTGCTGTAGATTATGTTTCGAAGTGGGTAGAAGCAAAGGCCACCCGTACTAATGATTCCAAAGTGGTTGCAGAATTCGTTAAGTCTAATATTTTTGTTCGCTTTGGGATGCCGCGAGCAATTGTAAGTGATCGGGGTACTCATTTCTGCAACAAAACGATCGCTGCAATTTTTAGGAGATACGGTGTTTTGCACAAAGTCTCTACATCCTACCATCCTCAGACAAATGGTCAGGCGGAAGCATCGAACCGAGAGATCAAATCAATTCTAGAAAAGATGGTCCGACCCGATAGGAAGGATTGGAGTGTGAGACTAGAGGATGCACTATGGGCATATAGGACGGCATACAAGACACCTATTGGCATGTCCCCTTACCGATTGGTATTTGGAAAGCCATGTCATCTCCCGATAGAGTTTGAGCATAGAGCGTTTTGGGCGGTCAAGCAATGCAATATGGATATCGAGGAGGGCGGAATTCAAAGGAAGTTGCAATTACAAGAGTTGGAAGAAATCCGAAATGAAGCATACGAGAATGCAGTGATCTATAAAGAGAAGAATCGGATCTTTCATGACCAACAGATCTCTAGGAAGATATTCGTCTGCGGGCAAAAAGTTTTACTATACCACTCCAAATTGAAACTATTTCCAGGTAAATTACGTTCTCGTTGGATTGGCCCTTTTGTTGTGACTAATGTCTTTCATTATGGTGCAGTAGAGATCCAAATTTTGAAAACGGAGAAGAAATTTGTGGTGAATGGTCACCGTCTCAAGCCGTATTATGAAGGATTTCCAATTGAACGGGTGGAGATGATGCAACTGGAAAAAAAAAAAAAATTCAAAATGCTGTTATTTTCCTTCTTAACATTCGTTTTAGTTTTTCAGCAATTCAATTCTGAAAAAAAAAAAAAAAACTGTAAGATCAAAAACTATTTTTTTTCCCTTTCTTTTTCTCTTTTCTTTCTTTTCTTTTTCTTTCTTTCTTTCTTCTTCTTTTCTTTCTTCTCTTCCCGCTGTCCCTTTCTTTTTCTTTCTTCTTCGGCTGCGAACCTCACCCCACCGCCGCCCACCGCCGCCCACCCCAGCTCTTCTCGCCGCTGCCTCGGCTCTCCTCGCCAAGGGTGAACACCAGCTCATCTGACCTCCTTCACCCTTGCCATAGCCACCGCCTCCAAGATCCGCCTGAAGCCCCGAAAGCCGCGCACCACCAGATCCAGCTGCCGCAAACTCTTCTCTCTCACAGCCACCACCTTCATCGCACCACTGGCTTCGTATGCACGCGCCTGCCTGAATCTCTTTCTATTATTTTTTTTTATTTTCTTATTTTATTATTGCAGTATGTTTTTATTATTTTTATTACAGTACGTTTTTGAAAATTCTGCGTGTTTGGACTACCTGACATTTCTATTCATCCTTAGTTGGATACTTCTGTGTTACTTTGCTTGTTTCTTTTTACTTTGCTTGATTTTTATTTATTTAGTACAATTTGGAAAGAATGGTGAAACCACGATCCCGACCCTTTGACCTCCGCTCCGTCTCCTCCAACTACAGGTGCTAATAGCTGGCACCAGCTTCAGGGGAGTTTCGTTGTCCTTCTTCTTATTTTTACTGTTTCATTATCACATTGAGGGCAATGTGTGATTTAAGTGTGGGGGGGGATTTGGGTTTAGTTTTGATTGGTGTTTCTTTAATTTGCTACCTTTCTTACTAGTGTTTTGATGAATAAATATGGCAATTCATTCGTTTATTGCTGGTTGTGATTTATCCTATGAATTTTGTTTAGATGGCAAGTAAGCGCATGTTATCTTGGTGAATATCATGAGTTTAATGACTTGGTGCAAATTGTGGTTAACTTGTTTAGGCAATATAAATATTTTACTAGCAATTGTTGTGTGGATTGGGCAATTGTTGATCTTAGTTCTCCATATTAGGAGATGACGTGAGCCATGATCTTTAATTATCTGGTATTCTGATACTTTAATTATGATTAATAAAAGACTCTACTCCGCTAGTGCCGTCACCCAGTAACCGGGAGTCTTCACCACAAGTGTCGACTTTCGCGTCAAAAAGTGGCGATATCTATGAGTAGTTAGTCCTGAAACTGTGAAAAGTTGAGTAACTGGGCTCTTTCATCTAAAAATGTCAGAGTTCACGTCAAAAGACTTGAATAGCTTGGGACTGAGCATTTATTGAAAATATATATATATATATATATATATATATATATAAAAAAGAGAGAGAGAAGAAAATAATAAGTAAGCTTATGATCATGTTGACCCGCCGATCCTTGTTTTTCAATGTTGAGATTTTGATTTTTCAGTTGACCCAATTGCTAACTTTTGCTAGTTTAATATTTTGATTTCTTAGACGAGTTAGCTATGAATTGGACGAGTCTACGATTTCAGGAGCTAACCGGGAGAAATATGTCCTGACACTTAGCTACTAAAACTTGATTTTGGGATAAGCGCAGCTTGGCAGTAAATGAAATGAGAGTTAGCCATTGTTGTCTATTGTGTTGTTCCCATGCTTGAGGGCAAGCATGATTTAAGTGTGGGGGAAATTGATAGGGTATTAATTGTTAGTAATTTTATCGTTAATTCTCCTCTTTATCCTTGCCAAATATTGCTTTAATTGTGACATGTACTAATATTTGGCATCTGGACTCAATTTTAGGAAGTGGAGCAGAAAAGAGAGATTTTCTTACAACAAATACTCCACACGTGGGAAGTTTCTAAAGAAAATACAAGCTAAGTTCCACGGGTGTATTTGTGCTGGAATTGATGATTATAGTGGACTCCTCCGTTTTGATAATTGCAGAGGAATTGATGATTGTGCTGGAATTAATTGGGATGATGTTTTCTTTCATTATCTAACGGGGACCACGTAGAAAGTTTGTCCTTATTGTGGGAGATATACTCATTAGTCATTAGCTAAGATGTTGGCTTTGATGATTGTAGCTTTCCAATTGCTTCCTACGTAGCTTTGATTATTGTGGGAGACTAGTGCTCCAATAAAATAACAAGGCACTAGATTAGTGGGCTCAAGGAGAAAAGACTATGAAAAAGCTATGAAGACTAAAGGCTTGCCTTATATATATCAGACGATAGCTTCATAAGCCATTAGACTAGTTTTTAGTTTGCTCTCCAAGAAGCTCTGTAGGTAGAATAGGTAGTTGATTGGTTTGTTGGATTTTGGGTGTGAAGTTTTCTCCAGAAGTTTGTTTTTTTGTTTCTTCGGTCTCTTTCATTCAACTAGTTTCTTCCATGAAACTAGTTTTATTGCATTAGATTACGGAGAATCAAATTTTCATTTTCAGTTACTAGCAAGAGTTATTTATGTCTTCGAATTCAATTAAATTGCGTGGGAATTTTCTTATGAAGCGTGGCTAATTTTCTCCTCTAGTCAAGGATCAACGCGAAGACGCAGTCCCAAATATCTGTGAGATCTAATTAATTTTACGTGTTCCTTAATTTGTTAATATTTGCATGTTTTCTATTTTAATTTCCATGGGATTATTTTGTTAATTGGATATCAAGGGCCCGATGTGCAATTTGACTTATTAATCTCTTGTCAAATTAATCAATTAAATCCGTAATTGTTTAGTTGGTTAATATTAGTGACAACTAGTATTTTCACATACTAGGAGAACATGCAATCTGATTTAAATAACCCTCGTAGCGTGTTATTAATTTGGGTTAGGCTTTTCTAGTTTTTAATGCAATTAGGAAATTAATTCCTACGGTCGTACCTAGGAGTATTTTCTGGTTAGGGGTAATCAATGGTCGTACCTTGGTTATCAATAAATTAAGGAAAAACTGGTCGTTAGAGCTTATCGGCGACTATAACTAACCTGTTAATAAAATTAAGTGAACCTTCTTTGCATCAATGATCAGATGAATGGACTGTGTCTGCATAGTTGTATCCTTGGCTAGAATTTATTTATCATTTATTTAATTGCTATTTACAATTGTATTAATTAATTATTTATTTTTGGTTAATTATTTTTAGTTAAATTGTTTAATTATTTATTTTTAGTTTTATCTGATAAAAATCCCCCGTGTCTCGAATTTAAAAAGAATCAAATTTTTTTTTCCAGTTCCTGTGGATTCGACCCTGCTTACTACTATACACAGAAAATTTATTTTTCTTAAGCAGGTATTTATTATTGCACAGGCACGACACCTGTCAATGCTGCAAGCTAAAGAGGAAAGTCGCTATGCTGAAGAGTTTGATTTCTTTGAGCAGGGTAAAACACCATTTTAATGTTTTCTGATTGAATTTTTAAATAATGACCACAAATTGATATTAGAGGGATGCAAAGAAGATAATTGATAATTAGGGAAGAGTCCCACAGTATCTGGAGCACAGCAAAATAACTATAAATACAAATCTTTTCCTACTATTTCTTGGATTTCGTTATCTCTCTTTTGAATTAGTAATTTTGATCTTTTCATTTCTCAATTTTGTGTTAATGAATTGAATAAGAGTAAATTAAAGCTAATGAAATTTAGAAAGAGGTGGGGATAAATCCACATCTTCACAATTTAAATCCACACTTTTATAACCAAGTTGACCAAAGAGCCCATAGCATTTATGGGGCTTGGTAGAAACTTTTTCAATAAAAAATTAATCTTTTTTTGGTGAAAATTGATGGTGCTAATTTGGATTTAAAATGTACATCATTATGATTCGTCTTAAAATTTTTGACATTTTTTTATTCACTTTGATGGCATTTACTTTTTCCTCTTATTTGGTGGAGAGAATGTTTTTATCTCTTTTTATCACTTAAGAGGAGATGAGAGATTTTTTAAAATCGTGCTAAGAAAATATTTTTACCTTTTTGGCATGTTGCACTTCAAAGTTGATTGAAGCATAATTTTAAAAAACACTGGCACATCAATAATTAAGATGATGGTATCAAACAATTTCAATTAATTAAAATTTGTGGTTGATTTTTTAAACATCTCTATCCAAGAAAATAATAGAGAAAGTCATACAAGTCCGATCATTTCTTTAAGGGACATTTCAATGGAAACTGGTCTCTCCGGTTGACTTTTGTCTGATTGAGTTCAGTTGATTAATTATTATAATATTTGGTGTAAATCCATCCAAGTTTGGTGTAAATCCTCAATTTTATTCCAACTCAACTATATGAACTAACAAATTTCACAACAACACAAAAGTTGGACAACACCAAATATTGTAAGAATTACATTAAAGCTAAACGAAATACAACGCCCCGGATCCCATTTCAATTCCAGGTTCTTGGCTAATATTATTTTGACAGTCTGACCATGAAAAGGACATATAAGTAAAACAAATCATCACATTGTGGCTCTAATTGGAATGGCTTTAAGGGGTACTGCCTTCTGCATTGTGATTCCAAGCTTTTCACGCATGTCAATATCTTCTGGTTTCATCCCTTCTTCAAGCTTCCAATCAAAGTTATGAATGAGTGAAGCCAATATTAGATGAATCATGCGTTCAGCCAGTGGCATCCCAACACATATTCTCCTGCCTGTACTAAATGGAAGGAGCTCAAAATGATGGCCTTTGACATCGATTTCACTGTCTAGGAATCTTTCAGGCACAAATGAAT